TATATAAGTGTAGTGTGTGTGTGTGTTGTGTGTGTGTGTGTGTGTGTGTGTGTGTGTGTGTGTGTGTGTGTGTGTGTGTACCGTAGATTTTAGAAATATCATGCCCGTAGCCAGGGTGGTTCAAAAGAACCCCCCACTCAAGGATCAAAGGTCCACCTTTTAGCTAAAGGTCCCAGATTTTTCTTTTAAAGATGGAATGATTCGTATCACCAGTGGATCTGGAATCGTAGAAAAACTGCTAACTGTCATTGAATAAACTCGCTGGACCCTCAGACAGTTGGAAGGCCCCTCCCCCTTCAAAATCCTGGCTACAGGCATGAATATGATGAATAATCGGCCAGTATAGCTAATCTACCGCTAACCATCCGACTGAAATTTGCCTGGAGGTATAAAAAATACCAAAGTAGATCAGGCAAGATCAAAGGGATGGGTAAAAGTGGAGATTTCTAATCATACTCAAGGTGGGATGGAGAGCTAGTGCAACGACCTGACAAAAGAAAATCCGACACATCATCCCAGAGCTTCTTCAACGATAGAAAACTCCCTCAGGTGCCGCGTGTATCTGTCTATCGATATGTACACTCTTCCCAGAGCCGCTTTGGATAAGGCAGTTGATGTAGCTTCAAAAGACTTGTGGTTCCATGAGATTGCAGCGCCTGCCAAGGCCTAGGAAAAATGTTATGTTTCCTGTTTCAGTCCGGAAAAAGTTAGGGTCAGTAGGTAGGGATTATTTTTTGTTCTTCAGTGATATCTATATAGGGGTCCAACTTATACAATACAGTTTTAAAAGTAAAACGTGCATGATGTGCATGAGGACACTTTTATTTTCAATGCTAATGTTAGAAAACCAATTGTACAACGCTCCGGTGTCAGATCATGGAGCTAGAAAAGGTTGATCAGCTTGAAAAATTAAATTATTTATGTCCCTTGCAGGGGTCCACCCAACGGGTCGGCAGACTTTTCTAGAGTCGGACGGGAAACAGGAAACACAGCATTTCTTTCCTAGGCCCAAGCACATGAAGGCATAGTGATGGGAAGATGCGGTCCTGTGTCTTCTGACAGATGCTTGTGGCGGGATCACCGCTTTTCCTGACATGTCTGTCGGCAGCTCTTGTCATCTCCGCTTTGGCTCTTCCTTTTTACCTCGAGCATGTTTAATCCCCAAGCGTCTGTTGGAGGGGAAGGTAGAAACGTCCTCTAAAATCCACTCGTGTTTCTGACGGCTGAGAGGGCGGTGACTCAGGAAAACGTTATGTAATTTTTAATCCTGCTTTATTCATGGCCTGTTCTTAGCTTAGGATTCAAGATTTCAAGATTCAAGATGGTTTTATTAGTTTTTCGCAGTTAAAAACTGAATTTTAAACCAATTTACAAAACATTAATATATTAAAACCGCCCTCCGACTTAACACATCAGCGTCGCAGGCACGCGGCGCGGCGGCAGCAGGCTACATTACACCAAACTCCTGAACATCTAAGTCTAAACATTTACATGTAGCATTACCATTACAGACGTACCCCAAGTCATGGTGTGACCAACATCGGACGGAGAAAGAATAGCTAACACCTTATAGACACCTTCATGTATGAACTACGTGTCATATAAGGCTAAGGGCAGTTGATGAACCTAACTTAGGGTCGCATATATGTAAGTGATCGCAAACTGAGGGCATTCCTGGGGTGGTCGTGCATATATCCTGCAGAATTCAGCCGCCTTGTTACGGAAGGGTCTAATGCTGAGCTCACATTTCCTAACCGGGGCCCGGCCGTGCAGTCTTATGGAACGACAGTATGATATAAAAGACAAAAAAAAAGCACACAAAAAAATGAAAAAATAATAATGAGAACTATTTGTGTATATTATTGGTATAAATTGTTGATTTTTCATAATCGAAACAGCCCGGCCGGGCCCCGGTTTGAAAATGTGACCTCGGCAATACATGTAGATCCTTTTTTCGGCTGCATCGTTCGACGATTATTTCTAACATTTCTGTCTGTATCTGTATAGCCGGTATAACCGTAACACACCAGCTTCGTAGGCACGAGGCACGGCGGCAGCTGGCTACATTACACCGAACAACTTGTTACACCTAACCCTTGAACATCTAACTCTGAAAACATTGTTTGAAGCTATCAAATGATGCAAAAAAAGTCTAGATTTGGTGAATCCCAGAGAAAGATATTGACTCACCGGTTATGAACGGAGCGCAGTTTCCTCTCGCTGGTGACGGCCACGCAGATGAAGATGTTCCCGGTGATGCTGAGCAGGACCGTGATGCTGACCAGCACGGAGAGAACCACCGTGGTGCCCAGCGTGTACCGGCGGGTCGCCGGCGCCACCGGCCCGTCCGTCAGACACGCCAACCCCGAGGAATTCGAGTCGTTCATTCTTCAAATCTTCAAGTAAGCTCGAAGAATTCTCTGGGCTTTAAGTCATAAAATACTGTCTACGAATTCTCAAATATATTGTGGATTTCCCGAAGGATGTTAGCCGCTGAAGTTGCCGGGCCAACGAGGTCCTTGCGGCCGCACAGTGGAGTCGACTCTTCTCGACGCTAGATGGTCCGTCGCCGGTCTTCGTCAGGGCCCGGTCTGGCAGAAATCTTAAAGTAAGCTCGAAGGATTCTGTGGGCTTCAAGACATACAATAGGGTTTACGAATTCTCAAATATATTGTAGATTTGCCGAAAGATGCTGAATTTGTCGGGCCAACGAGCTCCTTGCGGCCGCACAGTGGAGTCGTCTCTTCCCGACGCTAGATGGTCCGCCGCCGGTCTACTCCAGGGCCCGGTCTGGCAGTTAACAGCGAGTTCTCCCTTTTATCTATGAGAGTGGGATTGTGCAACATCGGACGTGTACACGTGCAGCTCTAGACAATAGCTCATTGCGGGCTGCTGTGTTCTATTGAGGTGCAGTATTCCCCGAACACCAGAGCATGCCGGGAAGAATATACAAACATAGCATTTACAACTAGTAACGTTACTTCATGGCAGGGATCTACAAAATTCGGACTAAGCGCGAAAATTATGCAGCATTATTCAGAAATGCAGCAGATTTCATCTGGTAATACGTTAACTGAGCAAAGCGTACGAAAGAAAATTTTCATTTTTTTTACCTCCTTGGTAAAAGATACTAACAAATCATATAATCAGTGTGCATAACGTATGCGCCATGCGAATAAAAGTTATCGGAGGGAACTTAAAACAGCCTCATCATTTTTGCACAGTAGGTAGTGCGTAAGTCTCATCATGCCAAAGCCATACTTACCTGATCAGCGTCCTTCAAGACCGTTTATTGAACCCTTTATAAGGGTCAACGTCCGTAAGATCTTCTATATTTTTCTTTGGTTGTATCCATAAAAAAGGCCAGGAGTTCACGTTTTTCCCCTTTACTACTGGACAAAACTACGGACAAACCATTTGGTCAACAGATTTGTTTGTAATCTTTATATTTTTTTGGTTTCTATACTCTAGATGTGACAGCCAATCCTGAACTCTGATTACTCTACGGACGTTAAGGCTGATTTTTTTTACATTGTCGTTCGTTACTAACGAATGGAGGATACAAAAGCTCGTTGAGAAAGAAGGAACGTTATACGACATGGAACACACCAGTGCACATCTCAGGTATACCAGAAAGGGCGACGACCGTTCGGAAAGGCGACGACCGTTCGGAAAGGCGACGACCGTTTACGAGACGGAAATTTGCACCGCCGCGCCGCGTGCCTGCGAAGCTGGTGTGCTACAGATACCAGTAGTAAGCTTTCCAGGAAAAATGTTTTACCATAACTAAATATAATGGCAGTGAAACTGTTTTCCAACTAAAAAAGAATTTGACTTACAGGAATTTTCCACCGAATCTCTTCAATGGCCATTTGACGCGCGTGTGACGTCAATCAAATTTCTTTCTGCGTCGGAGAACAGTTTATTTCCATTTTGTAACTTAGCAACTGTGATGAACTTAAGAAACTAAATAACTAAAGAAAAGAATGTATCCAAATAATAAAGAGAAAATGGACAAAGAATTGACGTTATACAAGATGAAACATGTAAAGGCATACATGCATGCATATCTCAAGTATATAGCAGAAGCATTCTTTCCGACAAAAAAAGTTGTGACCACGTGTCCGCCCGTCTACAATACACGTACGTGCGTGCGTGTGAGCGTCATAGGCGGGTTGTCACAACAAAACATACGCATATACGGGCTAAGCGCTGTCTAATGAGGCACAAGAGATGCTATCCTTTGTTGAGTTTTTCTAAAGAGATCGTCGGTAAGAGAAACAAGTTCCATTCAAGAGGAATACTATATGCCATCAGTACGGCTAATTGGATTTACTAATTGCTGATGATGGGTTCGAGAAAATTCGAAGTTTCATCAAAACAGCTTTGATATTTATGAAAATATGGTGTATAATTAGTCGGGGATTAAGCTTACCTTGGTGTGTACGTAGACGTTTGATATCAGAGCTTGCATCTACAAGCATCTAAAACAGGATTTAACCTGTTTTAATCCTGTTTTAGCCGATCTCTACAACTTGAAGAGCCGGTCTGATCTAGAAGAGTCTGGTCTATGACGGAGTACGAAACCCATAGTTCCCTTTGGGAGATCCATGTGTACTGACAATGAAGAATAAAAGCAAAAGACCGTCGGACAATGTATTCTACTTTTTTTACAACGCCGCTACCGGTATTATACAATGCGCTATTAGAGCTATGACGCACTGACAGTGAGTGTAATAGGCACAGCGGTGAAAACGAATATACCGTGTACCTGTACATGTGAGTACCGAACTGCTCGTGTGTGTTTAAAACGCTGACTTTGAACATCGCACAGAAAATGCGCAGACGTCCCCGTGCGCCATTGTGCACTGTCACAAGGTCCCGGCGCTACAAACTTCAGAAGGAATGTGTGAGAGGGTGGGCGGACTGTGTTGTTATATAACGTGTGGGTGGAATACTTAAAACTACAGCAAGTAAACTCTATGGATGACATCCATATGAGCGCATTAATTGATACTTTCGCTTGATTTACTGGCATCAAATGCAACTTCAGGGAAGCAAAACAAAACTAGAAAGGTAACATTTGCATAATGTTTACCTTCACCTGGTCTGGCCCAACAAAGCACTGCTCTGTTTATTCTTACTCAAAGCCAAATATATTCATCCATGTACATGTACATGTATGGTGATCAGGCTCTCCAACTCTGTTCTGCTCCATTATGTAACCCAACACCACCAGTTACCATGGTAGCATACCTCTGGTCCAGGTCATTGACCTTATGTGTTTGGAGAAGAGGAAACTGAGCAAAAACAATGGAGAAGGAAATCTGTCGGAAATTGACATTTACTGCGAGGAGTCTATATATTTGTGGTACCCCTATACATTGCTAGAACCAGCTTACCATACAATACTAGCAACTGTTTTCCGTCGCATTTTTGCCTCACTAGTGATATCAGTATCCTATGGGATATAAAAATTGCTTAAACTTTCTATAGTATACATTAAAAGAAAGACAAGAAAATTCACTTTGCAAATCCAGTTTTCCCACCATGAAATTACATTTGATGCCTTTAAAACATGGCAAGAAAACTCCTTTATAGACAAATAAAGACCTCCTAAAAATGAATTTACTCCGCAAATCCAACATTGCACTGGTTTACTGGTCTGTAGATACATTGTAATAGAACATTCAGTTTGATAAAAATATGTCTTAATTTGTATCTTCAAAGATAATAGCCCTTATTCAATTAAGCTTGAAGTTCATACAATGCTGAAGTTGAAGTATAGTACTGTATTAAAGATCCATTTTAGTATGACGCTACTCTTGTTTAACAGATAGTTTTAAAATATTAGTGATATATTTTTGAATGACCCTTAGTCAACCTAGACTATTTTAGCACTGGTTCTATGCTCCAATTGTTCCCATTGGTGAATAGTCTGCCAGAAATGATTGGAATCTGAAGATTTGCCTAAAATAGAGACAAAAGCCCTAATTGTCTCACTGTCCCAGCTCTAAAAGACTGTATTTTTCTTCAATGATGGTTAAAAAAAGGTGTTTGGCCCCGCATTTGTTTAGCTTGGGTACCATTCGGATTTTGCTCCGCTACACTAGAAAAAAAATCATGACTTTTTTCTAGCACAGTGAAGCAAAATCCAGATGGTACCCTGGCTAGCATTTGTTACTGTTAGGCCTAGGAAAAAAAAGTTGTGTTTCCTGGTTCCTGATGAACCCTAGAAAAAACTGTTGACCCTAGACTTTTTTTGAGTGGACCTGTGCCCCCCCAGCCAAAAAAACTGCAAGGATATAAATTTTTGGAGCTGATCAACCTTTTCTACCTCCATGATCTGACACCTGACTTGGTGACCTGAGTGATGGACATTGAAAATATAATTTGTTGTATTGTATAAGTTGGATCACTAGAGATTGCCAATGTCTAAAAAAAAAGAAAAAAAAGAAAAAAAAATGTCTACCTACTCACCCCAATTTTATCAGGACTAAAATAGGAAACACAACATTTTTTTCCTAGGCCTTAGCTGGTAATGTGTTTATTCGTTCTTTGCTGGATACCAGTACAGAGATCTCTTGACCGCCCGTTCCCACTGCTCCACAATGTGCCGGTACTTCTCCCACACACCCTCAGACACCGGCCGAGGCTGGAAGACCCGCTCTGAGGTCTGTAGACCCTTCAGTTCTTCCTTGCTCTTCCACATCCCTGCATCAACAATAACTACTTGTGAGATCACTGCTTCTGGTTCTGTATAGCTGGTATAACCACCCTTTGGCCTAACACCAGCTTTGAAGGCATGCAGTGTGGTGGCAGCTGGCTATATTACACCGAACGACCTGTTACACTCAATCTTTACACATCTAACTGCAGGAGTTGTTCAAAGCTTTCTAGTGATCATGACCCAACTGTGCTTGGTGGCAACAAGTTCCACTCTACAATAGTTCTTGCAAAAAACAAATTTTTGATCACCCAAATTCTTGGTTGATAACTGTGATATTTGAAGGCATGACTGTTTCTTGTTCTTTTCTGGCATTAGATACTTAGTGGTTAGTACCACATGCATAGCCTAGCCATTTTTCGTCTGTCTTCCAGCGACACCCACTGTAGGTAACAATTTAACAGAGTTATGAGACATGCAATGTCTTGGTGCAAGTGTACAAACCCTTCACAAAGAGGTGGATGTGCGGGGGTGTAGGTTAGGGGATTGTAATTATATAAAGTGTAATCAGACCTTCCTTAACGTGGTTGGCACTTCCACCTTTGATCCTTTTCAGTTCCTCTTTATCCTTCCATATTCCTGTATCCGTCAGGGGCAGTAAGGTAGGGGCAAGTATATACACAAAAATGTTTTTAAATCTGATCACAATATCTTAAGCATGAGTAAAGGAACCACCGGACTAAACTGGTTTGGTTCAAACTTAAAACACAACCACCTTCCCCCTCCTACCATGAAATCAAGTCCCGGAAAATAAATTTCCATAAAATGTACGTACCAACAGCAAGTCCTGCTAGAAAGGCTGCCCCAAGGCTGGACATGTCCACGTGTTTGGGCCTGGTGATCGTCCGGTTCAGGAGGTCAGCCGTCAGCTGCATCACAAAACTGTTGTTGGAGACCCCACCATCAGCTCTGTAACCAGAAGACCAAACAAAACTGCAGTTGGAGACCCTATAACTAGCTCTTCCATAGAAACATCACATAAAACTGTTGTTGGAGACCCCACCATCAGCTCTGTAATCAGAAGACCAAACAAAACTGCAGTTTGAGACCCTACAACTAACTCTTCCATAGAAAAATCTCATAAAGAATTGTATATAATACAATGAGAGTACTTTTAATGTCTAGGCACTTTCTCTTGCACTACCCTATATCTATAATGCAGATATTACTGTCAGCTCATGTTGCTATGTAATGACTATAACATTAAGAGAAGTCACTGCATAGCCGTCTGTATAGCCGTGCAAATACTATTATACGCAAACTCGCTTATTGTTCTTCATATGTTAAAAAGACGTTGTTTACAGCTCATTGCTCCCACCTTTTTGCTGCACAGTTGTGGGACAGAGCTAGTTCTAGAATTGTATCAAAGTGTCGAGTTGCTTACAATAACTGTCTTCGCATCATAATGTCACTACCCAGATTTTGTAGTGCAAGTGAAATGTTTGTATACAATAGGATTGACACATTTGATGCTACATGGCGTAAACAATGTTACTCATTTATATCCCGTCTATACAAGTCATCAAACAACATTATCCAATCTGTTCTTAAATCTGAAGTGATATTCCGTAGCAGATTCTTTCGCAATAACTGGGCCCGTCTGTACATATAGTCATATTATTCTTTTACTGATGTAATTGTGTGTGTATTTTATATGTATGTTGTATATGGGCGAGTTATGCCTGAAATAAAGAAAGAAAGAAAAGTACAAACAAATGACTTACCTGATGTAGGTAATTGGTATTTTTGTTTCGTTCAGCATGGTTTCATAAAGTTGCTTGTTTCTAAAAATACACAAAGAATAAAAATGTCAATTTGTCAATTCAAATTTGTCAAGCTTATAAACAGTTCAATATGATTTTCATGTAGTAAAAGAAAGGGTGGGACTGTACACCTAATTGGAGATGGAGAGTTTTGTAGATGTACCTGAAGACTAGTGACTCCAGCAGAGCCCTGAGCATGTGAGCCTTGGTGGTGGTGGAGGACAGGCCCAGAAACAAGGAGCAGGCTCGGGGGTCATTCACCGGGGCCTGCACACAACATGGAATGGGATGGGATGGGATGTAGAGAAGGGACATAGACATATTCACAGAACCGATGTTGGCAGCATGCATGTTGGCAAAACATACATTGCCTCTATAAAACCCAGATTTTTCATGGCTTTCATTTCATGTTTAGTCAATGTTGCATCATAATTTTGCCAATTGCAGGCAATATTTTTCCAATATATGAAAACTATCCTTGGGATATCATCCTTAGATGCACAAATACAACCTTATTCTGCTTCAGTACTGTACTTACCTGAATGCCATTGAAGGCAGGAACAAAATATACCCCACTGGAATCTGAGTGAAAAAAAGGGAGGAAAAATATGCCCCTGGTCATTCTTTTTGTCTGAGATCAGATTTGTAGTTTCGACAAAAAAAAAAAATTAATCACAATTCATGTAAAACAAAACCTATTTGAACCTCACCCTCAACAGACTCTGCCAACTCAGCTGTCTCAGCATAATCTTCAAATAGACCTGTTAAAAAACAAACAAACAAAAACTTATGCTACAGGCCTGTCCTTGGTGCTGAACACCTTTCACGCACAGGTATACACATTCGTCCTTGGTGCTGAAGATTATCCACACACAGGTAAACACACCTGTCCTTGGTGCTGAATGCCATCCACACACAGGTTAACACACCTCTCCTTGTTGCTGAACACCTTCCACACACAAGCAAACACCCCTGTCCTTGGTGCTGAACACCATCTTCACACAGAAAAACATGCCTGTCCTTGGTGCTGAATACCATCCACACACAGGCAAATATACCTGTCCTTGGTGCTGAACACCATCCACACACAGTCAAACACACCTGTCCTTGGTGCTGAACCCCATCCACACACAGTCAAACACACCTGTCCTTGGTGCTGAACCCCATCCACACACAGTCAAACAGCTCTAGTGCTTCTCAATATCAACAGGTAAGAAAATCATTACAGTTAAACCTACCAATAGACCTGGCCCAGTCTATAGCAGTTCCAGTGTCGCTGGCGTTTCCCTCTGCCAGAAAGACAATCTCGTCTCCGATCTTCCAACCAATCAGTGGGTACAGACCTAGACATAGACAAGATACAAAAAATCGCACTGTCACAAATACTATATATACTGTGTTTCTAATGACACAGCCAGATTTACCAACCTGTTTTCTTTTTTTAAAAATCTCTTTTTTTTTAAACTGAAAGATCAATTTACTTAAGTCTATTACCTGCCATGGAGGTATGTGGGGTACTACCAACGTTGATGTCCATGAAGCTCCCAGTTCCCATGGTGCATTTCACATCCCCAGGGTCAAAGCAGCACTCACCAAACATGGCCGCCTGTTGGTCTGCAACCTGTCACAGGATTGGTCAGATTTAACTACACCTACATGCATTCAATAGCATTCAATTGTATAAAATTGCACAAATATACAAGCAAACACATGTCACAATACCTACCAAGGAAGCAATGGGTATGGGAGCACCAAACCACTTTGTTTCACAGACACCATGAATCTTACTGGAAAGAAAGAAAAAAAGTTATAAAACTGAACTTGCTCCTGGTGCTGAAGTTTGAACATCATTCACATAAACACACAACCCTGTCCCTGGTACAAAGCAACATTTATCAAAGCATACTGTATTTGGCTTTGAATATAATAACTATGTAAAAAGGTCAAACATTGAAGTATGAAATTGTCAAGTATACCTTGTATCCTCCACTGGAGGAAAGATAGAAATGGGGATGCTCAACAAATTCGTAAAGAATTTGTTCCATTGTCTCTGTAAGGAAAGAAATAAGAAATAAGTATTGCTAATGCAGTAATAGAAAACTTAAATCACAGCTACGTGAACATTTACTGTGTGCTTATCTATGAGCAGACGTCGGTACATGTAAAAAAAATCATGAAGACACACTTTGAACCTAGGTTTCACTATGCATGATCATGTAGTCTGAGAGTAAATTTGAAAAAGTAGTGCCAGTAAAGCCACACTGACTTAATTTTATGGATGACAGCCTCTGAATTCCCTCAAATTAGTGCGCGTGGGCGAATAAAAAAATTCCAGCCAAAAAAATGCTGATAAACCTGGGTGACACCCTCCATAGTTACTGCCAGCTCCCTACTATTGCTAGCTACCATGGACAGGCCAGAGCTTTCTCGGCAGTGATTTTTTTGAGAACAGGCAAAAATCAATGCTCACACAGATGTCATCAATAAAATAAAATCAGTGTGGCCTAATTTAAACCTACTATGTATGGATCATAAAGTCCTGTTGAACTGGCACAAGAATAGTCAGTGGCATACACCTGGCCTGAAAATAAAAGGAATGAAACAATGCTAGTGGTAGGCATCAACAGAGAAAGATATGCACATTTGACAGGATCTGTCCTTGGTGCTGAACACAATCCACACACATTCATACACATTTCTCTTGGCATTGAATGTCACATATACATACATGTAGACCTGCCCTTGGTGCTGAATGTTATTACAGTATATATCCACACACAGGAAAATACACCCCTGTCCTTAGTATCAAACACACATACCTGTCACTGGTGCTGAACACCATCCATACATAGGCATACAACACACATACTGACAATGGCAATGATAAAATATCCAAGAAACAAAGACAGGAGAAAGAAATGCAACTGTGCCCACCTCCTGTTAGTTTCCACAGCAGCCAAGTGTCAATGGTTCCAAAAGAAACCAGACCATTAAAGGCACGTCTCCTCAACTACAGACAAAAGAAAAAAAGATTCAGAAGCAACACTTTTCAGTTCATCAAGATATGACTGAATACATTAAGATATTGGAATATGCATTGCTTAACCACTGTGCAGAGATATGCTTTGGGTACATCTGTTCATGTGTTTGCTTCTGTTTTCATTGCCACTTCTGTCCAACTTCTATACACGGAAGAAACATGCACAAAGAGGAGCAGACTACTTTGAGGAGCACACTAAATTGAGGGCAGCAAGAAATTGGACTTACTGTGAGGTTATTCTGCAGCAGCCACATGACTTTCATTGTTATCTGAAAAGCAGTCATTTGCATATTGTGAATTACGTCTATCTATTTATCTATGTATTACAGTGTAGTTTAACTTACATGTGGCTAGGGTTACCAAACTAGCCATTTACTATTAGTACATTAGAGAGGCCTATAAACAGTACAAACATATTGCACTGTTCTTGTGATTACTGTTTAAAGACGGTGTTACACCAAAAGACAGTTTACCTGTTATTTAAAACAAACAAACAAAAACAAACAAACAAACAATCTCACTTGTTGGGGGAGGAACTTCAGTACATTAGCTGCCAAAAACCGTTTACTTCTGGACATGAGGTACAACAAGCTTCCTCCACCGTGGACTGCCTAAAGATGATAACGTATACAAAAGGTCATTAACACAACATCTGTTTCATACAATATAATAACAGTGATTAACAAATTGTAACTACAGTACTAGTGTAATTGCAGTCTATACAATACACAAGTTCAAAATGATATGAAAATAAGTCCTCACAGATTAGAAAACATGATATGAACAGCATAGATTACCTGGCACTTAACATGTTTTTATGGAGAAAATCTGACAACTGGTGTAACTAACGTTACAGACTGACAAGAAGGTCAAATTGGTGTTCAAAATGGACTCTCTGCTAGGAGGAAATCAATAGCATGGTGGAGGAATATGATAATGAATTAATAAGAAAGAAATTCCTAACAAATCTAAATGCTTCATTGAGGTGTCAACTCATTAATTTGTTGTTGTTGTTGTTGTTATTGTTGTTGTAACAGTTATAGAACAGGAGACAGATGTATTCCTACCTTCATTGTTAAAGAGTTGTTCCACGATTCCACCAGTTCTGAACCTCTCAAGTCCTGCCAGGTCAGGAAATTATGGTACAGTTCTCCTGTCTCTCTGGGTGGGTGAGGATGAATACAGAAAAAATTATCATAATGGTGTTGGTAATATTCAGAAAATTAACAATGAAACTCTTTTGTCTAGCTGTTTTAAGCAGATGTCCATCCATTCATTTCTTAGTTTCTTCTTTCATCCATTTGTCCATCTATCAATCCATCCATCCTTCTGTCCATTCATCATGGACCATCTTTAATTTCCAGCCTAGCTGAAAAACACAGACCAATACAACGACCATTGAAAAATCTCTCAAAAATACATGCTAAAACCAAACATCTGCTTGGAGGTATTTCTGACCTGTCCCACATGGTGAAGGTGCACCTCTGTGTGGAGATGCCCAGCCCTGCCACCTGGCCAGCTGTAACACCTGCAGCTGTACAGGAACAATAACCATGGAAATATGAGCTTACTTAATAATAGACAGCACGTCGGCAGAACGTACTGCGCCTGCGCGAAACCCGTACATAGCATTTCGGCAGAATGTCTCATATAACTTATTATAAGGTTGTATTCGCTCATATAAGGTTAGCATTTTGACAGTAGTTTCCAAATGTTGTGTCGGAAAAAATATCCTCTGCAACAGGCAAAATTCTGATGCAACGTTGACCAAAAACCCAACGAAAAACGCAAAAATATGGGGTTCTGCGCAGGCGCAGTACATTCTGCCAACGTACTATAATAGACAGAACTCTAATTCATGTCTAAACATATTACAGGCTGAACAAACAAAATCAGTCATTTCCAAAAAAAGAACAGAATACATTTTTCCCTTTTTGGCCTTCTAGTCTGTTAGTGTTTGTGACAGTGCTAATAAAGTGTATCAAACCAACCTCTAATGGCCTCATTAACAACATCTACAAAGTCTGTCCACAGGACTTCTGGGTCCATCTCTACCCAGCCTGGCTGGGGGTGCAGTAAATGGACCTGGGGAAAATGAGCAAGATACAGTTAATGTTACATGTGGCGTTAACTAGTACTTTCACTGTAATATTCTATTCCAATCATAAACTATAATATTATTGTTACTACAGGGATATTTCACTTGCAGTCAGTCGAATATCATGAAAAAATGAAATGTAATTAATTTTATCTCTTCCTTGTGTGATTTTGTATGTATGTACTTGTGTGTAACATAATGTTATGCGTGTATGTGATTTTGAATGACGACTTTTACGGCTCAATTCAATAATGAACATCCTGGCGGTTTTCTATGATACTACAGCAGAACCTATATCTTCCGGATTTGATATAATTTTCGTGTTATGGTTTGGTAGTGATGCAGTGATGTCGTTCTTTCGGCATATGACGTTTATCTTTTGAACGCTTTGTCATATTTTACGCTATCCGTTGAAATGAGTTGTGTGTTATTTCACGTAAGTGAAACGTATTTTAACCAGATGGCTGCAATGTTTTACAGAATAAACCATTCATTCATTCATCTCTTCGGTCTATCATATCACAGATTCTACCTTCTTGCTGCTGGATCCCTTGACGTTGGCGAGTTTATCGTACACATGGCAGCGTAACGTCGACGTGCCGACGTCCACTCCCAGCACGTACTGGTCCCGGGGCCCGCCCCGTGGCTCCCGCGGGCCGGCCTGCGCATGCTGCCGAGGACCGCTTTGCGGCGGCACGGTGGCTGAATCACCACCGCCTGCCGGGGTGACATCTTCCTCAGAAGACTCCCTAGGATCATCGGACATCTTCAATAATCTTCATAAACAAGCAGACGTTTAATAAAAGACTTTTAACACCAAATCATCATTGAACTGGTCCAAAGTGCACACCTCTGAAAGTTATAACCTTTGAACTTTCAAACAAGACTGTCTCTCCTACTGTACATTTTTAGTGCCTGTGTAAACAAAATATCAACAGAAGAGTATACATGCAGATTTTGAGTCATATTCAAAACATTAATTATTATCAGAAGTAGTTCAATAATATGAAATGTACGTTTATGAATATTTTGTTGAATTTTTGGATAAGCAAAGATTTAAATCCGCAGGGCAGCTATGCATCAATGCCCTTTGACCCTATCTTCCGGAAGTGTACGTGTTGCTTTGGCGGGCTCTTCAAAAAATGTAAGGTTGGTCCAGGAATGTTTCGGTTCGTCTTAGTCTAAGTTCATTATTGGCAAACCTTCTACTTCACGCAGTTTGTGCAAAACACGCGGTTTTTTGGGAATCAAGGCTGGCCATAATTTGCTGCTTTTGTGATTTGTTTATGTCTTCGTTGTACTACTGGCCCCATGCCCCCCTCCCCCACAAAAGATGTACTTGTACACAAAAGATGAGCACCCTCTTGTACTCTTTATTCCTTGGCTGTGCACAGAACTTTAGGATGTAAACTTATTCTACTGGCTGATGTAGAACACTATTGTGCCCTTGCACAAGCAAAGGTACGAAAGTAACGGGTTCCTTACTGGGCGCCCAGTACGGAAACCGTGGAGAAAATAGCGTCGATACTCGGGGCCCAGTTCTGAAGAAAGCTCTAAACTGGAATTCCAGTTCGGACGCGGCGTTATTCCAGTACTGAAGCTTCGTCAGAACTGGAAGTTCAGAACTGAATCTTGTTTCGGAACTCGTTTTCCAGACCTGAACGCCCGTCGGTACTCGGACCCCAGTACTGTGTTGCGTCCCGGCTACAGGAAGGCTGGTTCAACTGGTCATTCAGTACTGGTTACCCAGTTCGGAGGTCATTCAGTACTGGAAAGCCGAGTGTCGATGTACCTAAGTAACGGGTTCCGTACTGGATTGACCAGTAAAAAGTGACTCTACAGTACTGGAAGCCGAGTTTTCAAATTATTTCCGAACTGGGCTTCCTGTTCTCACGTTCTAATTTGTACTGGGATGTTCCAGTACTGAATACGATATGTCTCAATACAGTAGTAGAAGTAGCCTTGCTGACATCACCAACGTATAAACTAGTATTGGTCTATAACTGGTCGATGTGCCGATCTTCAACAGCCCGCTCTTCGTTGTTAGCCGCCCGGCAGTTTCTCTCGTCTCCCGTAGACGCTTCCTGTAGGTATTCTCGTTGTCCTCCGGCAGCCGTGTTCGCCTTATGTTGCGGCGGCCGTCCGGCAGCTTGCCCGGCTTTACTACCGCCCGGCAGCGCTTGTAAGCCGGGCTATACTCACGCCAAAGCCGCTCCGCGTTTTCCAGTACGGAAGGAACGTTCAGTTCTCGGTTTCCAGAACTGATTCAGAGTTTTCCAGTTCTGAAGTCGCCTCAGATCTGGACGCCCAGTTCTGACAGAACTTCCGAACTGGAAGTTCAGTTCGGAAGGCACCTTCAGTACTGAACACCGAGTACTGAGGGAGGAACCCGTTACTTAGGTACTTTTGCCTTGCACAATAGCCTACTAAACTTATTCTAAAGTAAAAAGAGTGAAAACAAATCGAGTGCTGTCACATAAATATATCTAAAATGCCCCTGTACTTTTACATGAAACTATACATTGTACTTTTTTGCAGATCACCATGGGGAAAAGAAAGGAACCGACCCACAAGCCTGTCCCTTGTGGAGTGTGGGTTTCCAAGAAGAGGCAGAAGCAGGTGTGTATATTAAAACTTCCTGTGGTATCTATATCATATTCCAGGGATTTCCCTAGCCTTCTGCTGAATTCAATCTTACCTTAGATTTTGTTCCTCATTCTCTGCCCTATGGTCATTTAAGTGTTGAACAATTTCTTCCTTCCCTTCAGTTGTTACTGCCGCAGCCAAAGCGTGCCAGGCTGTCATCTGTGACTGTCATTCCAGCACGCCAGCTAGGTGGCACTAGAGAGCTGCCCAAACGACAGGCCACCATCATGGAGATCTTTGGCAGGAAAGATGCTGACCCAGCTGCTTCTGTCTGCAGTGTGACTTCAGGTCAAGTTTGTGATTCTAGCAAAAGTGAGATTTCAACACATGCCTATGATTTACAAAATAAAGGTACATATAATATGACAATGATAATTATTTGCACATTCATGCCCATGTGGGCTAAGCGCAGTACATGTACTTTTACATAAGTCATATAGACACTGAAATTCTACAGAAGTGCTACACTACATCTGTTGCATACAGATCATTGATTATATAGCAAACTGAATTCACAAACATTGATTTCATGTTTAATATGAATATATAGTATACAATGTACATGATTGTAAAAAAATACATGTACATGATTAGTCTTTTGAGTGATGTGCTACAATCATTCCCAGACCAATAATGACATCTTATACATACAGGTACAGCACAGGACCACCAGAAAGCACCAGATTCCAACAGACTCGATGCTAAATATATGTCTCCAGAGTCGGCTGAACAACAAAACATACAGAAGACTTCACAGAAGAACTTGTCAGATGAAGAGGAATACAGCTATAGTTTAACAGATAACTCACAAAATGACCAGACTCTTTCCCCACTCAAGTACACGCTAAATTCTCAAGGTAGCATAACATGGAAGACTCCATCCATATTGCCATTTAGTGAGACCAGTGATGACATTTTCACTCAAAATCAGACTGAGAATGATTCTGAAACACCACAGTCAAAGACAATATGGAAACCAGGGGATGTTACAGAGAGTTGTGAACATGCAAAGCACCAGAAAACAAGAGTTGAAAAACTGCTGCAACAGACTGAAAATTATGAAGATTTGTCCCCACCCATGTATACTCTGGACACACAAGGAGACCTGAAGGCCAAGTGCCCAACAGAACACAGTTGTCCTCAGACTTTAGGTCACCAAAGTCTAACTCTTCATGAAAAGTCAATGTTTGATGCCATGCCATGTACTGAGGCATTGTCACCTCTGCAGTACACGTTAGACACACAGGGGGAGCTGGTGTACAATGACAACCACTGCTGTGGAGATGCAGGGAGTTGGCAATCAGAAGAGAGTCATCCTTTAACGTGTGAACCTAGTGATGAGGAAACTGAAGATGGTTCTCAGTCTTTAGAGCCAGAGGAGTTATCACAGCTTAGGTACACACTAGACTCTGAAGGAGAACTGAGGCGTAAAGAAATTAGTAACAGTCATTATTGCACAAACAGTCCAATCCTCAGTGATGGAAAAGTTTTGGATGAACATTGTAACTCTCTCAGCTACAGTGAAAAATTATATGATTCACAGTCATTTTGAAACTGAGAATAAAGTCCCTGCAAAGATAAATAAATTTACAGTAATTGCATCTAACGAAATCTGTGAAATAGCAATCTTCAATGGTTTGTAACTTTGTACTTACTTGAAAATAAATTTGCCTTGTATTGAAACATATTGGCGTTTCTTTCCTACGTATAGTAATGAATGTAGTTAACTGTTCCCACTTCAAGAACCAAAGTATTGCCTCCTTGCGGAATTTGAATGTATTACATCTATTGAGGCTTCATTCACAGGCAATTTTCTCAAGTTCGTCTGGGCAGGAAAAACTTGCATGGGGACACTTATTGTCAATGTTAGAAAACCAATTGTACATGTACAACGTTTTATCACTCGTGTCAGATCAGGGAGCTAGAAAAGATTGATCCCTTCCAGGGGTCCACCTCCAAAAAAGTCTAGAGTCGGCAGGTTTTTCTAGGGCGGTCGGGAAACAGGAAACACAACCTTTTTTTCCTAGGCCTAACAACTTGCAAACTGTCGCACACTCCACCTGTCAATCAATCACGGCGAATTCCCGCGTAAAATTCCGACCAATGGGTGACCCTGACGGCGGGACGGCTGTGTGATGTAGATGCCGACAGCTGTCGCGCCATTTTTACTGCACGCACAGCTAGCCTAGTAGCGTACCCAGACTGTTGAATCACGTTCCGGAGCGGTGGAAGCAGCAACAGTCATAATACATCCTCCCTACGTGTGTTTATACTTCCTTAGTATATAACCTAGGCTATTCCGCCAACGCGTCTACCAGCGTCACGACATCGCAATCTTAACGTCTGCGTTTAGGACACGGACTCATTTCTGCTGCTTCCTGAGTTGGCATAACTGGGCATTCTTCAATCCGGTGTCGACACAAAGAGACATTTTACTATCTCCACAAACCAGGTACGTATAACCTTATGGGAAAATGTCATGATTTAAACTTGAACACGGGTGCTATGCAGGGCTTCCTCTTAACAATGAATGGAATCACGTCGCTGTACTACCCTTTTTACCATCTCCCCACCATCGAAACCAATGTAATTTTGCTTTAATCCATCCAAATTAGAGCTTTGCTCTCGAAATTCGCTGCTCTAAATGTCAGGGGAAAGCCCTCAATTATCTGTATGAAAGCCGTAATGATTTTTCGTGCCAGACAACTCGTGGTACACATTCCCGTTCCTTGATATATCGGCCTTGGCGTCTTCCTTAGCCAGACCAATATCTGCAGCGACATTTTCTCCGCTTTACTGGCGGTTGAAATGCATGGGAGAAGACAGTAATTGCTTCAGCTATCGAACACCTGTGGCATGCACCATTTCTTGGCACAGATAACTTGCACGTAGGATGATGTTTGAAGGTACCAGAGTGTAAAAATGTCAGTGTAAAACGGTTAGAGTAGCGTGTTTTCAATGAGTAAATAGTACAGTAGTAGGGCAACGTTAGTGTGTAAACAGTAGTTGATGTGTAAACTACGCAGTTCGTGTAAAAGGTAGTTGTGACATTTAAAGGTACTGTTTTTCGTGTGTAAAGGGTTTTCTGCGTGTAGACCGTAGTATGTGTAAATGGGTTTTGCCAGCGTACCAACGGTGGTGGTCACTTTGTGAAGGATGATTGGCGTGCGAATACTCAAGATGCCCTCTTTGTCAACACAGCCAACATGTACCAGCACGTGGTCTCTGTTTACTATCAGATGGTGTCTGGTTAAATATGTCTAGATACATGTGTAATCTTTATAGTGTCTTCGTCGTCACGTTATCCTTTTCGTTCTTTATCTAATTCTCCGCACGACATCGAATATCTAGAGCCGTGTAGATGTTCAAATAGCAATACTGGTGAAAGGTCAGTTCTGGCCCGTGTACTGGGCTGCGTGGATCCTGGCACGAACTGTGGGCACAGATCGAACTTGGAAGTTATCCAAGTCATCACTACATTGTTAAGGTCACCCCACACCTCCTAAAAGGGTTTTAACGTCTGTATAGTAACATTACTATTAGCTATCATCCCAAATATAGAAAACCATCCTTTTTTGAGAATTTGAAATTAGGAAGAAAATTTCGTTTTGATTTTCATATAATTTAGAAAATGGTAAATTATTGCCATCAATTATTAGCTGAGTTAATTGCACGTTATTCTAAACGAATTCGCTCTCGTAAATTTTAAGCGTAATGGCTGTCAAATATTGCTTCATAAATCAGCGTTCTATCAATTGTACATCAATGGCTATTTCAGAGGTTTGAGACTGGTCAGGCAGTTGGAAATCCCTACATTGCAAAACCAGTCATAGATTATCTGGAACCACTGAAGACCGGATATTATCTGTCGTAAATGGCAGTGATCGTCGGGAAACCCTTTCTTGATTTGAATAAGGCCCGATTTAGACTAGAAACGCTTAAGGGGTTTTGGCCAGGGAAACGTTTTGGAACGGTTAACCGTTCCCGGTCTAAAGAGGAAAAAACGGTTTGTTATGGGTTTTCGCGGACCGTTTCCGAAAACCACCTCCATCGTGGTTTTCGACCGTTTCAGAACCCTTCAGCGGGGGGCCCGAAACGCTTTTTGCTAGGTCTAAAGTCAAAGGGTTTCTTGAAACGGTAAACCAGGTCACGTGTCATATGCTAGTCACATGCTAATAAGCCCGCGCGCGTCCATTTTCTGGTAGATTCGCGCCATATTCGATTGTGTCCATTTTCGCCATTTTATATCAGGTATTTCTCGAATTTTCGTCATCCTTTATGTCTGGGGGGATGGCAGAAGGCCAGGGGAGGGTCTGGACCCAAGAAGAGATCCGCTGCTTGATCAGCTTGTGGGCCGATCAAACTATACAATCCCGCTTGGAGACCTCGCGTAATAGGGAGGGCATACAGATGCTTGTGGACGGGCTGGCGGCTGAGGGGTATTTACGCACCCCAAAGCAGGTTCGGGCGAAGTTCAAGGCCCTGAAACACAAGTATCATAAGGCCAATGAGGCAAACCGTAGAAGCGGTTGGGGAGGTCATCATAGGTCACTGTGGGTCAGAAACATCCTGCGCCACGGGCGGCCCGAAACGCTACCGACTCTGTGTCTAAAGACGAACCGTTTTCTGTGGCGAAACGTTTCGTACCGTTTCGAAACGGTATACCGTTTCTAGTCTAAATCGGGCCTAAGATTATCTGGAATACCCCAAGAGAGCCTCACGCGTGCTGGGCCCGCCAGTGAACTCCAACTCGCCCCGGCGGATGACGGATCGCCCTATTGATGTTGTGGACGGTTTTCCGATCACCGCTCGCCGCCGGGCAAAGTCGGGGTCCCGAGCCGTAAACAGATGGCCATGGCGGGCTTTTAAGGCACGGAACACTGCTCTTTTCGATACCCTTGTTCTTAAAATTCTAGTATTCCAGCTACGAGAAACAACGGCCACCAGACGCGCGCTGTGAACCAGTGGATTCCACCACCACAAAGGATTTTTGTGACAAGCTGGGAGGTAATACTAGACGTTGTCTTTTTCTAGAGCTCTCTTCCTAGCTTACATGATTACAAACGGTTATCTTAATGTGTGTATGTCTAAGGACGTCAGGACGTGTATGCTGATGTTGTGTGTTGATGTACCAGTCATCTGCGAATGTTGTCGTTAGCGTTCTGTTGACCACCGAAGCACAACTGTCGTGAACACTGATGCCATGTGTTCGTATGTGTGTGTGAATGGTCCCGTTTTGTCCTTGGCCCAGTCTCCACCATTTCTGGGGGCTGAGAAATCGGCTAATAAGGTGAAATAATTTACCAGAGAGCTTAGCCGACTATAGGAGTTCAATTCACATTTTTTAAACCCCCATAGTCGCTCCGACTTCATTCCCTGGCGAATTATTCTTCCTTTTGTTAATAGCCGATTTCCACAACTAGCATATTTCCCAGCGAGCCTAATAGTCCGGAAGAGACTGATGACTACCCCTGGTCCTTATGGTTCCGATATTCATAGACGAAACCTGGGAGACCTATTCATGAAACCTGGGAGACTGGGAGGACTGTGATGAAGTGGGACAGGACATAGAGCATGATTTCCTCCTCTAGATACGGGACGTGACGTGTTTTAATAAGGCTAAGGAAAGAAAAATGTTGTGTTTCCGGCTATACGACCGACCCTAGCAAAAAAAAAACGACCCTAGCAAAAAAAAAAGCCCTAGCCTAGGCCGCCGATGAGAGACATAAAATTTTCCATCAGACAATATAGTGCTGCATACCGGTTCACTGGGCCAAATATCAGAACCGGACCTGGCGTTTCGGCTCAAGTAAAATAAATGCATAATATTTACCTTTGCATATGGTCTGCTCTGTTAATTCTTATTCAAACACATTCATACACAGTGTATATGGTCAGACAGGAGTCTAAATCCCTGTTGCTATAAAATTGCAACATGATATAACCCAACACCAGTTACCATGGTGGCGTCTGGTTCAGGTCATTGACCTTATTCGTTTGGAGAAGAAGAAGAAGAGGAAACAGAGCAAAAACAATATGTTTTCCTTCGGTAAACATAAAAACACCACCAGTATACTGGTGCATTTCAGTGTTACAGAAAGTGCATGTATTTGTTTGGTATTTATTTGATGAAGTGAAGTGAATCCCTACCTACCGACCCTAGTTTTTCAGTACCGTTATAGAAAACACAACTTTATTTTTCCTAGGCCTGTCTCCAGCTCCGATCTTCCGAATGAAAACACAATGATCTGTCATTAGATGAAGGGATGTTTTGCTGGTCGTTGGTTCAAGTAACGATGTAATCGGTAGTGCGTCTGAAGGAAGGGTTTTCCGTCGATCACTGACACTTAAGACGGATAATATCCGGTCTTCAGTGGTTCGGGTCCAAGTTTCTTCCGTTCAATTACCACTGGGCTGATTGGATCGGTCGCCGCTGGAATTACACACTGTTTTATTGATATGCATCTTCGTAACGAAATGTCAGGAAGCGGAGAACTGTAGATATGTCTCCACTATGGTTCTCACCTACGGATTGATCTGCTGGATACGTATCCTGCGGCAGATTTAATTCGTTGGTGATGGGAAGGCCTAGGGAAAAATTGTTGTGTTCCCAGGCGAAAAAACTAGGGTCGGCATCTTGTTTTTTTCGGGCCTCCTTCTTTTTTTTTTGCGTTCTCGCATTAGATTTAGGGTCTCCAGAGGACGTCATCCATAAAAATTAGATGGTGTAGCCTAATGTATGTTGTGTGAGTAAATGATACTTCTTACACCCAGCCACGAAAAACCAACGGTTCCCCCTGCCAACACGCATTCTTGGGGCGTCCAGAATAGTTCCCAGGCGATCCAGGAGGTTATAATTTTTGCTCTACGGCGAAGCAATTTGTGATTTCTGACGTGCCCGTTTCAAACCTGTGGCGCGGATCTTTGGGGAGGTGGGATACAGATTTCATGGTTGATCGAAGGCGTGGAAAGGTGACATTCATACTCTCCTAGCAGAGGCTGATGGGGGAAGATCGTTACCTTTTATATATGGCCCCCTTTTTTGTCGCTACCCTTGGGTGGCGCATGCCCTCTCTGGCCAATGGATACTGCCTGACCAATTTGATACTGTCATTTTGCCACCCTAGGATCTGCTTGGAGATTAGACATTCATACCACACTGCGGCCCATGCAGCCGCCATTACAAAATCTCTAAGCTAGATCTTTCGCCGGCTGCAAGACAGTAACAAATTGGCCAGGCAGTATCCATTTGCCAGGCAGGTTAAACCATTTGCCACTCGAAGGTTGGGCTGGCGTAAAAAAAGATACCTGTCTAAAACAGGAAACCCCGCTGAAAATGCCTAAAACACGCCACAAATAAGTCAAACCGCAACCTCTGCTTGGAAAGTACGCCAAAAATAGGCCAAAGGCTAAACCTCTGCTGGAAAGTACGCCAAAGAATAAGCCGAAGCCTAAAGCTCTGCTTGAAGAGAAGTCATAACATACGTACGTCAGACCGACAAGATTGTAGACTCTGTTCACGGGCTGTGTACTCTGTCTGGGCCGGCTAACCCTCGGACTCTTCCTGACTACAAATAAAGCAATCTCCAAGCAGATACTGGAAGGGTAAATCGCAACAGCACCTTTCTGGGACCTAACTGTTATCCAGCCCAGCCGGTCGGTGGAAATAAGTACGGAAACACAGACAAACACACGGACACACGGCGAAAACAAAACTTCCGTGCACGAAGCTCGATGAAACCAATGACATTATACAGAAGTCCTTGGTAAAACTATTGGTGCAACGTTCTCAGCCTGGCACTATTGAAGAAATAGCTATAGAAGATCACCGTCATATTTCATAAAAACTGGCAGGGAATCTTTGCTCTTGTCTTACATATTTTACATGCAGGCAATGACCAGGCCGATAATGTCATAAAGATATTGTTATCCTCTATGTATCAGTGATTGTGCACGGTTTTTTTTGTGTGTGTCATGTTTCCCACATCAAGTCTTGCTATACCACACAAATGTTGAGAAGGGCTCTTTTGAAGCCATTCCTTGCTTTTCAAATTGGTATTTTCTGTGTGTATTTTTTGTGTTTTTCTACCAATTCAGACGTAGGGATAACAGCAACATCCTTTGAGAAGCCTTACCTAACAAGGACCCATGCAGATGAATTATTCAGGGAGAGACACGACATAATCTGGTCCTGGCACGGACAGGCACCCGTTCTCAGAATTCCCGGCCATTGTTAGAGCTACAGGATAAATGGAATAGAAAATAATCTGCTTTTCAACCACGCAATTCTGCCCGGGAAAAAGGCTTTGTTCAGTCGACAATACAGAGGCTCGCATAGGGGTTGCCACGATGCCAAAATATCCCATCACAGAAACTCCGTATTTGTTCACACAAACTCCACTTTGAAAAAGACAGACATAACTACATTCCTCAGCAGCAAGAAATTTGCCAGTTTTTGTAATTCAGATAATATTGCGGATGTTGACTGTGCCTTATATAGATATGGGAGATATCATCTATACTTGTATACAAGATAAGTTTCCCGTGTTTAGGCATTTAGATAGAACAGAAACAAATCGTCTTAGTTTATGAAACTAAACAAACCAAGTACATATCATAAGCTCAATATGTTCATGCATCTACGAATCAATGAATTAATTGTAGAGCCTGCTAAAGAGGCTATGCTGTGGAATGTTACAGCACAGACCTCCATTCACAGGTTTATTTAGCGGGTGGAGCTAGAGATGGGGAGAGGACTTGTAGTACGTTATGATGAGGGTTATTTTTGTTGTGGTATGGGGAGAATGTTGACCTCGGAGGTCAGTAGGCTCAGGTCGGCAGCTGGAGAGTGGTAACATCGCGGTCAGCTCTAAAACAACAGCGGTCGACTCTCACTTACCTCCGTGTACGGAAGTTTTGTTCTCGGGTTGTCTGTTTGTGTGTTTGCTTGTGTTTCCGTTGTTATTTCCACGTTATAAGCACGGGGAAGACACTGACAGGACGTTAGGCAATGATCTTAGAAAAGATTATCTCATTTTCTGTCTTCAATTTCCTAAAACATGCGTGTAACACGGATATAAAAGACTACTTGTATTGACTCTCTCTCCCTCGCTCTCGCTCTTTCTCTCCCTCCCTCCCCCCTCTCTCTTTCTCTCTGTGCCTCTATCTCCGTGTCTCTGTGTATCTCTCTATCTCTATGTGTGTATCTCTCTGTGTATCTCTCTATCTCTGTGGCTCTCTGTCTCGCTCTCTCTCTTGATCTCTCGCTGTCTCTTTCCCTCTCGCTCTCTCCCTCTCTCTTTCTATCTAAGTATTGTCAGCTCTTGGGGGTGGTACACTTGGAATTTATTGCGGTCCATTTTACCCCCCTGCCATTAATACCACAACCTCGTTCCAAAAGCGATTGTTCCAATTACCGGGACATGGTGCCTATAACCGTCAAGGACATCATATCGAAGGCCACTAAAAAGGGTTGCACTAATGAGCTTTGGTACATACAAAAGCTCCTTGGCTACATTGGACGTATTTTACCTTCTGGCTAGTACATCTAGATCCTTGGCAGTTTTACGATGTTTCGTGTAATTTCATGATGATGTAGTGAGTCCATGTCTTTATTGCCCTTTTATTAATGGTTTTTATCGACCGAAGAAACAAGAGCTCGTGAAAAATGCAAACGGCACTAGCCTAGGCACCGGTAGTAAAAATAATGAACTTCAATAATTATGTTAGACGCATATTTTACTTGTCATCATACTGGATAAAGTAGAAAGCTGTACAATAAGGAGGTACTATAAAATTTGGGGAGGGGAATAAGTATTAAGGATGCAACAGCCTCTTATAGTACCAAACCGGGTCTCTATATTTGAACGCTTTATTCAATGTACCGTTTTATTGTAACTCTTTGAGCAATATTTCTGAAACTTTAATGTAAATATTAGCATTATCCATTTTCATATGATGACCATATTGTTGATTAATGAGGTAGCAACAATGGGTAGAGACAGGCAATTAATAATACAGTGCAGAAATACGCACAGCTACGTACGATGATATTTGGTATTCAGACCGCCCGCTGGATGCGATTCAGCTGACTGCTCAGAATTTTTGCTTTCCCAAAGCTCCTCTATTTGTGTAGTTATCATCTTCCGTCTGACACAACCGTTGGACAATTGCCGTCCAGGTAAACTGTAACGTAGTTTGTGGGCATCAAGGAGAAACCTAACCTGGTATTCTGGCCCCTCAGATGATTCGGGTAGCTGAAATAATATGTAGACCAGGCTAGGATTTTAAAAAAAAACTCCAATTTCAATAGGACTTATTAGTGGAAAAATTGCCGTCTTTTGTTGTGTTCCTCTGCTATTCAAACGTGTAGTCACCATGGCTACCTCCCAATGGAGGTCAGCCCCACGCAGTTTGTAATCTTCTGTACAATTTCTGTGTTCTATTGTTGTTGCAGGAGACGCGCCGGTGGTGTACGTGCAGCCATGTTGCTGAGGAAGTCTCTCTCCTTGCTGACGCTGAGGCGGGGTAAAGACGTGGAAGCCATCGAACTGTCTGAGACGGAAGCGTCCCGGCAGAAGACTCGCCATGTCGGGTTTATGGTGGTGTACGCCGGGAAGGTACCGCTGGGGGAGGACGTGACGCCGGGGCCGGGGTGTACGGAGTCCGCCGTCTCTCAACTCTTAGGCCCGGCGGCGCACGCGAACGTGGAGGTGCCGGGCCGCCTGGACATCCTACCCCACGGGATCAGAATGTCGAGGTCCCGGGAGGAAAATGACGACGTCCACGACGTTCAACAGCAGCAGCAACAGGACACTCTGACGTTTGACTTGCAGAGAATCGCCTTCTGCTCGGCAGATCACAAGGCGAGGAATAACGTGTTCTCCTGGGTGTACCGGGAGGTGGGCGAGGTGGGGCGGCCCGTGCTGGAGTGTCACGCCGTCCTGTGCGAGAGCCAGCGGCACGCCAAGTTCTTCGCGCTGCGCCTCGGCCACTTCTTCAACTCGGCCTGGAACCAGATGGCGCGAGCTGAACAGTCCCTGCGGCTCCTTCAGGAGGGAAGGAAGATCCGGAGAAGCAGCACCGAGCACGGGTGCCTCGGCGGCGCCTCCACGACAACATATCCAGCCCCTCGCCGCGGACACACGACGTCGCAAACCAACGGTGTGGTCGCCGAGAAACCGACGCAGAACGGTGCGGTACCAACACCGCCTGCCCCCGGTCAGGACACGCTGAAGAACGCCGACGTCTCGCATGCGTCTCAAAACGGGGTCGCCGAGATCTTTATATGATCTCCAAGGACTACAGAATGTGTTGCCGACCAGTATCTCGACACTATTGAACAAGACGTTAGCGAAAAACGCACAGTTGTTTAGATGGAGACCCGAACAACCCATACATGCAATTGACAATACTGTTGTTGCAGATGATGTTGTTGTTTTTGTTCTACGAGAATCTGTAATTATGTTCTTATCGTTCTTGGTCATTATTCCAGCTTGACGACAAAGTTCTGAATGGAAGCGAATGTAGTAATCGCAGTTTTTGGGATTTTAAGTTCCGGACACTCTAAATTAGTCTCTATCAAACATTGACTTTCTGCAAAAATAGTTTTTAAAACGGCCAAACAGACTGAATACTCAGCTCCTATTTAGTCATTTTCTATATATCGTCGCATTAGCGATTCTGGTAGAACTTACGATGTTCGAACGATGGCGATAAAGACATAGATTTTAACCCGAAACGAAAGTAGACAAAAGGCTTTTCTGTAACGGACAGAGCCTTGTACACTTGAATCTGGTGAACAGACATTCAATTGTAACATATCTTTCTGAATAAAACAATTACAATATGTATATATATGTATATATGTAAATAAGCCTTCTAATTTCTTGTCATGATGCACCGTTAAGGGTTTCAAATGCACACAAAAAATAGATTAATGTTAAAAATAATATAAACTGGAACGGCATAGTTTGATAAGTTTGGATAGTCGGGATAAGAAACGAACTTATGACCTGTACCAGGCTTCGGAAGCGGCTGGAAAGAGTAGAAATTGGCTAAATAGACCGATAACATGCCAGGGGAGCTGTTCCGCTGAGGAGGCGGCATGTTATCTATTTGGCCAATCTCTACTCTTTCCAGCCGCTTCCAAGAACTGGTAGAGGCTAGCAAACTCAAGCGACTGGAGTGGAACTCCCCAGAGTGGAAACCAAAGGTGGAATAATCCCGTTATCTGACCAGTTCTGTCTGGATTCCTGTCTATTCTTCAGGCCAATTTTCCCACCAGGACCAACATTCCACTACTGTACAAAACAGTGCGGCTGGGTAGTCATTCATTTTCAAGCAGATGTAGGTTTGATCGAGTCAGTGTTTCACGCCTCTTTGTACTGGTCAGCGTTGTTCTATCTTCCTCCTACTAGAAATGGTTAAAAAGCCTCTAAATGTCCTAACACTAACCAGGATCCTACATCTGCTTGGAATTTTTTTCTTGCGTTCAGATTCAGTAGTGCCTAAAAGAGTAACGTTAACAAGTAGTAACAGTACAGTACAGTACAGTACGGTACAGTACAGTACAGTACAGTACAGTATACTGTTAAAATGGTTCTACGAAACTTTCCTAAGAGTCTCCTATGCCACCTGTTCAAATGTCTTAACAGACGTCTGCACACTGAAGAGCTCACCAAGACAGTCCGGTCTTTCTTTGAACTTTTCCCACACTTCTAAGGGCACCTGAGCAAACCGAGGACTAATTGTGAACCACGCCATGGCTCTTACTGAGATAGCGCGGTCCAGCGGGCACAGGGAGAACACTTGGAACGGGAAGTTTGGCAAGTTTGCCAATATGACTGAACTCGGGCCTGTTTAAACGTTTCCTGTTGTTGCACAATCTCTCGCTGTAAGGGGCTAATCGGGCCACCTCCCCGAGAGAATCAGCCTCTACCCAGGCTTCAAAAGCGGCTGGAAAGAGTACCGATTGGCCAGACTGATCACTTGCCAGGGGAGTTGGTATCCACTCGAGCTCAGAGTACAGTTTGCCGCTCCCGTTCGCAAGCCGCGCCCCGAAGCCTGTTAGAGGCTACAGACAAGGGCCGCTAGAATGATGTATTCTGGTCAAAGGTTAAGACACTTATATAAGATCCGCTTTTCAGCCTTTAACTATGTTAATCTTTTGTTATGACTAATGTTAATGAAAAGGAATCCATTTGTGTCTCGTGTTGTGTTGACTTGCTGACGGCAGGGTGTTGGGAAACACTGCCTCTATGCGGAGGTGAGCAGAAGTGCAGATTACGAACATGCCCCATGAGACATGAGACAAAATAATGCAAACTGGATCAAGTCTGTAAAGAGTCAGACTTTTCAGACATCATCCAGTATCTTTCATCCGTGACTCGCTGACTTCGATTCTAAATGAACCCACGCTTTACTTGGATACATCTTCTCAGAGAGAAAATATTTTCCACCAGGATGAATTTCAGCTGCAGTTCAGCAGGAACCGCAGGGTGTCGCTTGAATAGCCACAATCGTCCATGGTACTTTCTCGTTTGTGAAAGGGTCATTTTCGCATTGCCAGGTACTAGTATAGCATTTGACAACATGAAAGAAAATTAGGATATTCTGGACTTTTATTATTTCTTATTATCATCGTTATCATTATTCGAAGTTAAACTTGTTTATTTGCTTGTTTGTTTGCTTGTTTGTTTGTTTGTTTGTTTGTTTGTTTATTTCTTTGTTTGTATGCAACTGTTTATACTTGTATGCCACTTCGTATTTTTGTAATTCGGGGTACTGGGTTGCTCTAGCCTAGTGAAACGCGACAGAAATAAATAAATTTTCCAGTAAAGCCCAAATCATGATGCACGTAGTAACGTTGGTAATCCTGTCTGATTGGAAGTCATTATTTCTATAGATCATTCTGGCACGTGGTTAAGATGTGATGCTGGGGCGATTATTTTCTGCATCTGTGTAAGTGATGCAGACCTCGGCACAATCTACATGTATATATATAATCTACACAACCTATATTCCGTGGTACCTTATTTATTGTTTGACTGTATCAATGCAATGCAGAGATATAAAATGGACTACAGAACTAGTACCTAATATAGATAACAGAAAAATGTATAAATTTACTGAGTGAATAGTGTAGCTGTTTGGGGAAACAACCATCTTAGCTTGCTATCAATTAGATAATGGCATGAATACACATGCGTTAAAACGTGCCATCTTCCCATTCTATACATGGTGTCCGAATCCCAGCATAAATATTAACTTACAAATCTATCTGTACTTCGTTTGACAAGACGAGCTCCTAATAATCTTTAATTTGTATTTCTTGTCGGTTGTAGACGGTGAGGCAAGAAGCTGCTGATATGTTTAAAGGCATCCGATGCCGATTTTAGGGCGTGGAAACCCGATTTGTCAAAGCCAATATTTTAGTCATTTATCTACATACTGAGTTGAAACCATACTGTCCCAATGTATATTGACCCTCATGGAGCAAAAATTCCCAAAATTCTGACGGAAAATGGTTACTGGAAGGGCCCTGGGCTGATTTTTAGGTTACCACCCAGAAAATAAAGGACTCATCTTGAGGATCGTTTCTGCAGCTTTAAATGCCCAAAGTATGAAATACTGACTCAAATGTGCTAATGTGATATCACAAAGATTACCTTTAATATTAAGAATATTTCCAGTTTTGCTGCTCTGAAATCGCATTGGTTGCCTTTAAGAATTTGATTTCTAGAAAATATGTGTGTTACATAAACAAAGCGTTTTGTAGCAGGATAGACGTCACTGTACAAAAGACGGCGGCGAATTTGACGCACGCCGCTGCACTTCATGTCATTTAGGTGTTAAAAAACTGCTAATTTGCATACGCAGACACGTACAACAGGTAGACTCCACACTAACTGTGACTCGTGAAAGTCAGAGTGATAATTTTGAACGGCGCTTGTATTTCTGTATTCAAATAGTCAAAGTTTTCTTCATTGGGTGAGGAACGGGACTTGCATCCATCAACTTTTTAATATCTTTGTTCTTTATTAGATTGTTTGATATTTATTTTCCTTCGTATTTCATTCATATTGGATTTCATTTTGTAATAACCTGTGTTTTTGTAATTGTAAGTGGTAGGGTAAAATTAATTCTTTGTAACTTGAGTGCGTTCGTCAACCTTTTAATATCTTTGATCTTTTCTTACATTATGTTAGATATTTATTTTTCTTCGTGTTTCAGTTCTATTGGATATCATTTTGTGATAATCTATGCTTTTGTTAATGTATGTAGCGTAAAAATAAGTCTTTGTAACTTGAGTGCGTCACCACTAGTATTTGAATGAAAAAAAATATTTGAAAAAAATATTCAAACATACACAACCGTGTCGTACTCAAGCATTACGCTCATACCATTATTTCAATAATAAAACTTGCAACAGTATTATTATTTCTCTATCTTTAGTATGTTGATTTTTCATAAGAAACAATAAAATTATTTTACAAATGTAGGCAGAAGTGGCGACGATATGCAGACTATGCAGGTGGTTTTTGCTTCAGTTTTACCGGCTCAGTGATCGTGACGTGTCTCTAATGCCCCAAGCAAGAACGTTTTCCTGGGGTTGAAGGTTCCGTCTCTTACCGTGGTACATGTAAATGGTATCAGGGCTGGAAATACACTAGTCCATGATGAAACCAGCCTGGTAACTAGTGTTGGGTTACATCATGTTGCAATTTTATAGCAAGAGGGATTTAGACTCCTGTCTGGTCATATTAAGAATGTGTTTGAGAGACAAAGCAGACCATATGCGAAGGTTAACATTATGCATTTGCTTTGCAAATGTTACCGTTTCTAGTTTCAAATTTTACCTGCATGGGTGTGCATTGGAAACTGTATTTGAAGCCCTCTAAGTGTGTATTTACATACATGCCCCTTGCCCAGAGCCCATATGGTGAGTTGATCCATTTAAGGTCTTTAAGTTGTCGGGGAAGCCGTAGGAAGCCGGCAGACGGTCGGTTTATGCATCTTTGCGGTAACTGATCCCATGTTTCAAGGACGCCTGTTGCTAGAGGGTAATATAAGTACAGTGTTCTCCGTCACAGCCAACACTGTATTTTTCGAATAAGCTGGGGAAAAGGGTAACTATTGCACATAACATGCCTGGGCTTGTGACATAATGACCATACCTGTGATGTTAACATTGCAAATTTCTGTCTTTCGTGATGGCGCTTGCTGTATTTCACGTTAAGCCTAATACTATTGCACCTGCCAAAATAGAATTAAAAAACACTTACTACATTTTGTATACTAGTATCAAAAGTAATGATGACACCCTGCGTTTGTGTCACACTGACAATACCTGTATCAAATGTCCCCAAACGACGAGTGGAATTCTTAGCTAGTGAAAAGGAAATGTAATGTCGTTCTGCAGAAGAAAATACGTTAGCGAACATCGTTTTTATTGAAAACGCCCTTCTCCAAACTGACAGCAATGTCACATTCGATAAAATATTGATAGGATCTAAGCGAGCTTTTTCCCTAATGATATTGTTCAGGTCTTTTATGAGGAAAAACATGTTTTAGTCCGCTTCTTTTTTAAAGGCGATGCTTAGCTTTTAGCTTGAGAGCTGTAGTTGACGAAATTGCATTTTGATATGACTGGCTCGAGCCATTTCCTCAGATGACTGTGATTAAAAGCGTACGAATGAGGGTCCGAGCGCAGCAATTCCACAAATGCACCCAAGCACTCAGCGGTGAGAGGGACTCGCATCACTTCACAATCAATCACACTACCATCACATGGTCTGATGTAGCCTCGTAACAGGCTTACCCGTTAGGCTTTAATTTTGTTTATTGCTTATTTATTACATCCATGAAAGAGAATTGCATATTAGTTTCACATGATGTATTGTTTGTTTTTTAGTTTGTTCGTATCTTTGCGTCTGTCTGTATTTTTGTGTTTTGGCATACGTTGGTCCAAGGACATTATGTATAGTGTCATTGATGGGTCACGTTATCATGTCCTTGGAATAACTCGGGACGATTAAGCGACAAAAGGAGAAGGCCCACCCGAAAGCCTGCAAAGGAGGCTACACCTGTCCTGTCTAATTTCTCTTCCACACCTCAGGCAGTTCACGTGACCGGTGTACAGCACAGTGCTGGGCCAGAGCGATTTCTCCAATTTCTTTGCCTTTTTTTTTTTCTAGAATCCGGCGACGCAGAACGTCAGTTCCACTTTCCCATTCCCGGACGGACAGCCACACTAATTCCGTACGCCATGTTGGTTGTGAATGCCGTGGATGAGAGTGGTGTTTTGGTGTAAGAGAATCCGGTGTTTACACTAAAGGAGGGGGCTTTGTTCGGCCTGTTATAACAGGCACCGATACGGCAGCCGCACGGGATACCCTGCTCTACATTCGACCGCTGCCAAAATTACCCCTTACAAAACTGACTCCCCAGGCTCTGGTTCTGGCTTTTGGATCCTCCCTGCCTCTTCACTTGAGCGGGAGGAGGTTAAAGTTGCCGATAATTTCTCTCCCCCCGACCCGTCAGGCGGTGACCTGTTCCCCCGCTTGGCAGGCCGTGTTGGTGCGGGTAAATGCCGGAGATTTGCCTCACAAACGCGCGTGCCAGCGCAGGGGAGACACGTCCGACTGGTTCTGCCGTATGAATGCCGGGACGGGTCGCGTTGTCGGATCCCATTGTAGTGGGTTGCGTGACCCCGGCTTTCGCGGGCGGGCTTGCCTGCCATGCAAATTCTTTCCCCCGTGACATCTCCACCGCGGCAGCGAGGAGGAATAACCGCCGTAGCACTTCTAACACGAGACTGAGAGAAATATGACGACTCTGGCTAAAAACGCGAGAACCTGTGGACTAACCGGAGAACCGAGAGGTCGCAGACTCATTTACTGACGTCCTCGTGTAGCCCCGCGGATGAATAGTCATGGCGAACCCCCAGCTGGTCGCCGTCTTGCTGCAGGAAGTGGAAAGGTGAGTCGCCGGCGTTACGAACCCTAGAACGCCAGACTTCCTCACCTGTGGTCCCCCGGCCACACGACATGTTCAAACGGAAGCACAAGGCACGGTTCTCGGACCTGTACGACACCATGCCCGAGGAGACTCTGCCGTACAGCCGCACGGGGTCCCTCAAGAGAGTACTCAAGTCGTCGCTACGCAGAAAGCGACGAGAACTGGACATTAGTCAGGAGGACCCCACCTATAGTTGCGTGTACCTCGGGAATGCTGCTACCTTACACGCTAAGGGGGAAGGGTCCACAGACCAGGCTGTTAAGACAATATGGACGAAATCGAACAAGGGCAAATCTGGCTCGAGAATGAAACTGTCGATAGGGAATCAGGGGATCACCCTGACCTACGCGGACAAAGACAACACGAAAGGTGGACAGCTGTACATGTTGCACAGAATAACGTACTGCGTGGCCGACAAGAATGTGCCGAGAATCTTCGCCTGGATCTACAGACACGAAGTCAAACTGAAGGCGGTGATGCTACGCTGCCACGCCGTGTACGTTAAGAAGGAGGAGACCGCTAAAGCCATGGCCTTACTCTTGTACCAGACTTTCTCCACGAGTCTGGAGAACTATAAGAGAGAGAAGAAGGAGAGCGAGCGGCATCGGGAGAGGGCAGGTATCCCTTGGCCCATGTCGGTGCCCCGCCGAAAGCTGATTAAATCGACCGTGGAGTTCAAACCACCTGTAGAGCGGAGTCGGTCGGCGCCTAAGCTCGGCTGCATCACCGAGGACGACGCCGAGGACGCGCACGAAGAGCAGGAGGCGCTGAATCACTGCGAGCCGCCCGCCCATAGACACTTCACCGAGACGATAGAGGAGGAAGACGAGGAGGAGGAAGAGGAAGGGAACGGGAGATATCAGGACGCGGAGGGGGAAGGGGACAGCGGCATCGTTAGTAACGGGGACGACGAAGAACTTCTCTCGCGCGGCGTCATGGAGCTGGATATCGGCAATAACGTGCACGACTTGCAATCCGACCAGGCAGTAGCGACTCTCATGTTCGGAGACGTGGGCCTAGAGGAGGAGGAACAGGACTATGAGGAGGAGGAAACACGTTTGTAGCAGCAGGCCAATTTGCAGTATAAGTACAGGTTATATGTTGTTGTATTGCTGTTGTCACATATTTGCTCACCTGCCGGCGACATGGGGGAGGGGGGCGATGGCGTTAGCTAGTTGTCGCCCCCCTCCCCCATACAGTATTGTCGTCCGTTTTCTCCGCCAGCAACCGACTGTACACAATGCCTTAATTGTCTCTGAGGTCAGGGTCAACATTTCCCACCACGTGTCCATGGCGACGGCGTGTCGTCAATCCCTCCATTGCAAAAATTCCATGGAGAATTTATTTTTGTTCCCTCCTTGTCTGAAAAAAAAGTAGTTGGACAACAATAGAGCCGTCATAACATAAGAGAAACAGATGTGTCTTTCTACTGTGAATTTGGCACGGCCGTTAAATTTCAAAGGCAATGTAATTTATTTTTATACTGTTTTGTAGGTGACATATCAAGACCAAGGCAAGATAGATACAAAAAGCGCCTTAGAACGTCTATACCTTATACCAATTCCCTAATGACCATGTCTATCATATTTGCATAGGACTTCGAAAAAGCCATACAACGCTGTTGTATAAACACAAACACCGTCCGGTCTTTCCGTAGTTTTGCCAAACACCGTGCCTTGAGTGTGCCCGGGAGATTTTAACCTCCTTGCTTGTACAAAACATCGCCTGACACCCTCCCTCAAGGGAAGGATGTGTCATGAATACAGATGAGGTGACCGCTGGCTAAGAAAAGAATACATATTCCGTGCATTTGTGTAACAGGACGCTGGGTCAAACGGATCATAGACTGTTATGGTCGGTACAGGAGAGCCAATAGCGACGGAGTTAGCTTCTGGTTCGGGCTTCTTGTCTGGATTAATTCCTGCTGTTTGTAGTCATGTCATTTGACCCCTTAAGGATGCATCTTAATATCGTTATACACTGGAACATCCTCTTAAGGGCAACTGGTAAAGAAGAATTGTGTACAAGGGAATGTCAAAATTTGGCACATATTTTTCCTGTCATCTAGTATTGCAATGCTCGGTTCTTGCCATATAGTTTATTTTTCTTTGCTGCTTTTTTTATCTTATTCGGAGACACTTGGTATTTTTGTCATAACACACTCAAAGAGCCTTCAATCCTTTCTAGCCTTCCTTTCAGAAAGAAGGATAAGGCTACCGCTACAAACAGCAATACACAGCTTAGACCAGAAGCCTGCCCCAAGGTTCAGAAAATCTGCCATATGTGCCGGGGTTTTATTATGTTTTCACGTTGGTGCAATGTTCTAACATATATGATGACATATTTAAAAATAAGATTTCTAGTTTGTAAGAGACATTTAAAATCTCTAAAATTGTGAAACAAAAGGCAATGCTAGGCGGATGCAGATACCTATGTTTGTCTATTTATATTGTGTCATGTTGGAAGGAAGGATTACACACGAGTGTGTAATGCTTTAAACATGAATCATACGGCACTTGTAGGCTAGTACATTTTGGCTAAAGTGGGTGTACAAATTGCACGCCTCCGATTCAACCAACTGAGAAAAAATGTAGGCCATGTTTGTAACACTGTATCCACTCCTGTGCAGCCTTTTGTCTCGGTGCATTTAACCGTAGGTACGAAACCAAATACAAACAGGCACATGGTTTACCCAGATCACATTTCACATGTTTTTCTGAACACTATTGTCGCTGCTGCTGTGCATTAAATGGGGTTTTCCTGTAGTCAGGTGCCAGTATTACTGCCCTTAATGTGTAGAGCTGGGGAGAATTATGTAAAATTATATATTGGTTGTCATATGACCGTTATATATTTGTATATTTACGCTTGGTGAGCTTATGTATAACTTAAGGTGGTGCTTATTCAACTTGCTTTATATAATAGAGAATTTGTCCTCGGCCAATTGAATTATCTCTTTGTAATATTTTAAAGATATGTACTTAAATTGGTCTGCTAGTACTTTGCCCATATCGCTATGCACATAACAAACACTTAAAAGCGATAGGAACACACTGCGTTGCTTTGAGTAGAGGGGATATATTGGTGTAATTTTTCCTGTCGAGTATCGAATGTTATTTATACAACCAGTTGTAAACAATACAGTTGAGACAACGTTACAAATTAAATCGTATACATTAGTTATGACCACCTCCATGTTATGACACAGGACATTATTTTAAAATCTGGGTCTATTACGTAATAAGCAGTGTTCTTGTTCTCTAAACCAAGTCTTGTCAGATTGTTGAAGGATATTATAATATATGGCTTGAAAGAATACTTAGTCCGCCATTTTGTTTCTGGAATGTTATTACATGTATTGAGCGCCCGCAGGCATGGATGCCTCGGTCGATGGCCTGCCTTCGACCCAAAACTAAACTCATTAATACAGGACACTTTGTCATAAGGAAAGGCCACTTTGTCATTTGTAAAAATTGGAAAACGCCCCAGTAATAACACGGAAAGCTGCAATTGTCAATAAGTGACGTGGTTTTGCTGGGAGAATGTTGCAATACGTCAAGGTATGACACAAATTCAGACCAATACACGGCGGCGTTTGACAGCTTAAATGCACATGATAGATTGTTCTGATAAAAGGACCGACCAAAAATTGATGGCATTTTGAGGTAAAAACGTAAACAAAATAAACTCTGAAACGATCAAGAAAGATATTCTACACACAAACTTGACAGAAAAGGAGAATATGACAAAAGAACGGTCAAACATATGCGCTAACAATTGACCCAGACGAAATTTGCACTGACATTTTTAATATCACCCCTTCTTCCACTTTGGTTCGTCCCTTATGGTGTCAATTTCCGAAGGTCAGAGGTCATCTTAGCTAGATCTCAAGGACGATCTACTAGTGAAGTAGTTTTGTATTTACTGTGTGCCTTGGGTCGACCTAGTTTTGCATCGAGTGTACCTTCCCAACTTCTTGTATCCCCGTGCATAACTGCAGCTGTACCTACTCTAAATTGTATAGAAAAATTGAAAATATATTCAATGACTTGTAATAATAATTGTCAAGGGAACAATTGTTAGATAATTGCCTGGAAGCAGCCGTTAATTCCAGTGGAAGCGCACGTTGCTATTACGGCGCGAATGTAAAATGAATTGTTGTTGTTATATCATCATGATGTTGGTCATGCTCAATAAAGCATTATGCTCGTTACCCTGGGTAATTGGTCTCGCGTAGTGCGTTAGAATTGCCACAGCAATCCGATATCGTTCTCTGCCAGTGCGAATATCTTTTATGTTTTTACGCACACCAGCAGGGAGCTTTAAAACATGAAGATGAATTTGACTTTGTGATGGACTGCACAAAAAATGTTTTACGCGTGTAAGGCCACAACATGTAAATTTTATGGATGACATCCTCCAAAGATTCCAAATCTAATGCGATAGGGCGAAAACAAAACAAGGCGGGCCCCAAAAAACAAGATTTCTACATTTTCAAAATTTGACATCATAACCTTGTTAAACAAGAAATGATACCTATATTGCGCTAAGTTTACTGCCATCTATTACATCATCCATTTGTTACTGAAACAACTTGGAAAGTTTTTAATCATAGTACAAATGGTTTTGATTCAGTGAGAACGTTGATATACACATCCAACAGACATATTTGCCCACTTCCGGCATGTTGACCACTGTCAGAAGGCAAAAAAATAGTTTTCCCCCAAAATCAGGCGAAAGTTAATGCGCGCGCTGATGTCATCTATAAAAATTACTTGCTTCGGCCTAATAAGCTATTTGCATTCCTCGAATCAATTGCAAGTACAACAGATTTCAAGAGTCTCGATGCTAGAGACAGATTTGAATATATCTTTACATGTAATGATTCCCACAATGCAGGAATAGGTAGATAAAAGCCTGCTTTGTTATTAGAAAAATACCGAAACTCGTGATTAGCTCCACTCGATTGTAACACTCAAAGACTTGTGCTAGCCCTTGTTGTTTGAGTAATTAGAATTTATTACGTTTTATTCTATATTAAGTCTTATTCAATACTTTTTTTATACTTTGCCATGCATTGTACCATGTGCAATTGTCGTGCAATACAGATCATCTATAACCTTGCACAAACCAATATACGCCCAATATCAGTACCAACACTGAGTGTATCAATACCTTTTTTTACGAAATTTCCGGGCGGCCCTTCACCAGTGGTGTAGTATTGTGTCGGTAAGGGTCTCTGAGTGTGGCTCTTCAGTATTTGTCTCGCCCGGCTTTTGTGTGGTCGATGGCCGTTCACTGCTCCTCTTGTATCGTACGGGTGAGAGGGTGGCAAAACTATTAGTTCCAGGCACACGACTTGCGCAACCGGAATGGTTGCGTGTTGTGTGCATACTACCAGGCTTCGAGAGACGGCTGGAAAGAGCAGAAATTGGCCAAATAGAGAGATAATATGCCAGTGGAGTTGGTCCCAGTTTGCCGAAAAATGGAACTGTACTCTCTAGCGAACCAACTCCCATGGCATGTTATCTCTCTATTATATTTGGCCAATTTCTACTATTTCTAGCCGCCTCCCGCCTGGTAGAGGCTATCAGTTGTCTACAACTGCCGAATGTAACGCTAGATTCGGCAAGCAGATATAAGGGTCCAGATCAGTCGTATTTCATGCGAGTGGGTGAAGAAATTAACTAGAATTTGGAGATTCCATACCTCCGTTTCCGGATCCTCTCGCTTTCCCTTCCCTTGAATTGGCCCCAAGACTTGACAAGCAACGCGAGGACTTCTTTTATTTTTTGGTACCACGGTACTACCACCCATAGCTCGAACCAGCCTACGATACAAAACATTAGCTACAGTTTTCCGTCAGTAACATCACAATTTTGCTTCACAGATATCAGTACGCCATTGGATAGGATTTATTCAACTTCCTACGTTGAAATAATGACTAGAACATTGACTTTCTAGTTTTGTTGGCCTGAAATCGCATACATATGCCTTTAACACGCTCAAATCTCCTATCTACACCTTACATCTGCTTGGAGGTAATCAGATACTTACAATCCAGCTGGTGTGTTACGCCGAAAGGCGGTTATACCGGCTATACAGATACAGATACAGTTCTTTCTGGGACTTCAGACGACCTACATCGTGAAGACCTCCAGCCCACTTCAGACATTGTTATATCGACCTTCCTTCCTGCACTGTCCTACACTCAGACAGTACAAGCACTCTTCACATCGTTACATCGTGTCGGTGAAATGATTCAAAGTGGTCTTATCATGAAAGTCGATCTGCGTTGGTAAAAGTCATTATGAAACAAGTTTAAACTGCACGCAATTATATCTAATACTGACTCAAGAAATTGGACCTACCCGAATTTTCGGCTGCACAACTCCAGTCTTTGTCAAGGAATAAATTTGCCGCAAATTTAAAACTGTACTCCTTCAACGGACTAGCTAACTCCCCTGGCATGTTATCTGTTTATTAGGCCAATTATTATTCTTTCCAGCCGCCTGTGAAGCTTGGTAGAGGCTAGGTAAAATGCTTGTTGACTCGCTGTTACTTACGTGTAGCAATGGTTGTTGATTTCCAGTAAGTAACACGGAAATGACACTTGTTCCATTTACTATGTCGTGTCAGACTGGTTTGAACCAGTTCCTCGCACAGTAAAGGCTCTTGACGCGTACAAGTGCGACCCTTATCCAGACAACTCCTCTTACCATAGACCTTTTAATGAAGGGTATCATCCATTATAGATACATCTCTCATAGATGTCTCCTATAAATGCACCAGTTTACTAGTGCGTGGGTAAGGTGAATATTGTTTTTTAGGAAACTTCATCAAGTACTGAAGGAAGTTACCCTTACTTTGTAAAACTAGCACAAGCAGGCGAGCAAAAAGGAGATAAACCAACAAAATAAACCTTTTTTTTCTAATCAGCCTGATGAGCCTGATGTAAGCATCATTTTTATGATGATTTTCGGCCCATTCACTATAATGCCACATTAATACACTTCAAAGTTACTGATTACATACATTGTGTTTCTTGTTATCATTACCTCTATCTACCTTATAACAATACATAATTACATAGTACATAAATGTATAATAAATAATCAATAAAGTAGTGAATCTCTAATTCTAGTCTTAAACTTGGTCATATTAGGGCTGTCAGGGAAGACCGAGGCTGGTAAGGAGTTCCACAGTCTGCTAGTCCTTGGTACATATTAAGACATGTGAAGCTGGGTGTTATCTTGGCACTTTGACAAGGTATGGACGCCCACGTGTGGGCAACTTTGCTTGAAGAACCTGTTAAACCAATTAACTGTGTTCGCCTTAACTGAAGTACCTACGTGACCTAATCTCCAAGCGCCTTCATGACCTAATCTCCAAGCAGATCTTGGGGTGGCTGCAATACAGTATCAAATTGGAAAGACAGTATCAAATTGGCCAGACAGTATCCAATTAATACGCCACTCAAGTCGTGAGGCGGCCAATGGTTACAGGCGGCCAATTGTGACTCCCCTCTCCCCAGAGAACCTGCTTGGAGATTCTACATGCCCATGCATGGGTAGATATATAAAAGGAACATTATTACTTGAACGTATAAACTACAGGGCAACACACAATTCAAGTATACAAGGTCGTCGGCAAAAAGTTACATGTCTTCTGTAACACGCGTAGAATCATTGTATTTGCCGACCACACACACATTAAACCTAAGTGGTCATTTAGATATCATTGAGGCTAAAAGCTTTGCTGTTCTACCCTTTGTCACATGTCGGGGACCTGTGTACATTCTGGGCGGTTCAAGCGATTCAATCAACGCAAGTAATGACGGCTTTAGTCTCGTGTTTTAGAAGAGGTCAAGTTTTTTACAATGAACGTGACAAGTTAACGTTGGCACAGCTGTGGAAAATACACCAAGAACAAAACGTACATCCACCAAGGTAGATTGAAGAATGAAATTTAAATCATTCAAAGGGCTTCTAAAAGTGTTTTTCGGGGGGTTACTGTGAACTATTTATTAAATATTTTTTATTTCCTGTCATACGAGGGGGGGGGTCAATAAGTAACGTGTCTAGCCAAAAAAAGGATACAGGAGTTTTCTTTTACTTAACCAAGATTTCTCACCTAAATAGATACTCGTAGACACCTGGTAGACACCGGAACGTCAGCACTTTGGTGAGAAATCTTGGTTGTGTAAAAGAAAACTCCTGTATCCTATACTTTACCAACCTGATGAAACTACTTTCGGAAAAAAAAATTAAACAAGAACCAGAATACAAATGTCGGGGTCCAACTATGAAAGATACTATAAGAGCACTCTTTGAAAGCGTTCTATCATGTCAACCAACTACACCACACAAAGAAAGTCGGCTTTTGTGAAACATATTATTCACGAAGAGTCCCAAGAAGTAGGACATCGCCCGACGGATCGAGAAATCCTTTATTGCCATTATTAAGCATTAACGTCACTCGTCGTGTTTAGTTGAAGCGCACACAATCGCCTGTAGACTCGCAAAGCTCTCAAAATAACCGGGCGCTGGGAGACGTTTATAGTCCTTAATAGCGGGGCGGGGCTCTTCCATTTTTTTTATTCAGGCCATGTTGATTTGATTATATGGATGACATCCGCGCTCCAATGAATTTCGAATTCCGGCCCTTTACAAAAAAATACAAGTTTTCAACAATAAATCGTACGAAATAGTTGCAAAATGAGCAAATACATAAGTTGCAAAAAAAATATTGGAAAACGATACCAA